CCTCAGCTGTAACGGAGCTGGCTTGCCCTGTGTCCTCTCCTTGGTGTATGTCAAAAGGCCCCTGGAAGCGGGTGACCAAACGGCGTGGAGGTGGAGGGACCATGGAGGGCTTCTGTCGGCTCGGCCGGGCATGCAGGTGAAAGCGGCATCGCCCTGGCAATGGCAAGCCTCCCAGTTGCCTGGATGCCCAGCAGGTTTCCGGTGGTGCTGCACTGTGGGTCCAGGGGCCACTCCTAGCTAGAACCAGGGGTTCACCGGGAAGCTCCCTCTCGGCCCTCTCCCCGCAGCCCGGGAAACACGAGGCAGCCTCCTGAGCTCTCTTGTCTTGCCTCTAGAAACCAGACCTTAGCACAGCGCTTGAAGTGGAAGTGGACCTACATGGTGAAAGGGGCACAAGGAGTTTAAATGGCAAAAGGAACAAAAAGGCTAATGAAAAAAATTTAAACAAAATTTTAAAGAATAAATGATAAAAGGAGAAACAGTTCTGGGGGTGTGTGTGTCTGTCTGTCTGTCTCTCTCTACGAGTTTGGGATACTTTCCATACCCATTTAGGAATAGGGGGAGCAAATGGGTGTTTGATCAAGGGCTGAGCAGTGTGATTGGGAGGAAGAGTATATATTGAATAATTGACCTAAAATACCACAAGTCAGTCACCGGCAGAATTGCCCTCCTGGCCTTTGTGCTCTGTCTCTGACTTGGTGAGGGCTAAGGCCGCCTCACAGTTATGCTGGGCCGAGCCGAGAAATGAGGGGCTCTCACCTTCTCTATCAGGAATAGATTTGTATTAGAACAGCTAAACTTCACTTTAAATCACGATATTCAGAGATTTCGTGGTAAAGGAAACTTTAAAAAATAATCCACTCAATACATTTTCTCTATCCCATAACCATTATCCCTGTGAGTCCTCCTACTTGCAGTTTCACAAAGAATTCTTTGCCTCTGTTACTGTCATATTTTCACTGTCTGCACATCCTGCCATTTATCGAGATAAACCCTTTGTGTATCTAACTCTTGTACTCTGCCTTATTTCAGTTAACTTGTAAAGCTATGTAAAATATGTCAAAATTGTCCAAAAACTCAAAAACTACCTCATAAAAGGAAGACTTGGGAAAGATAAAGTAGAGCCAAAAATAATCATTCTAAAAATGCAAACCATAGTCACCCTCATGTGAGTCTACCTAAGGGCCACCCGGGGGACGGGCGCCTGCTCCCTGCTGCTTTGGTCTGTGCCACCCGTATATTTTGGAACATCTGGATGGTAGATTAAAGAACAAGCTAGGTGAATTCTGTGTCTTTCAGCTAGCATTTGATAAACATTGTGTGGCAGTGTGTCTGTTATTCTTTCTCCTCGGAATCCCTGATGTGAACTTCCCTTGTGAGGCAGACGGATGCCTGTCTGTTGCTGGCCATCACAGCACGTGGAGTAATCCTTCTGAAAAGCAGATCTGATCATTTTCTTCCCCTTTTAAAAAATGCTGACTCTGCATTTACCCAGAGGCAGTGTTCAGCTTTCTGACGCGGCCTTCCCAGCCTCTGTTCTCTCCCCAGCGCCTCACGCTGCACTCCAGGTGGATGGACCTGCGGTGCTTTCTCACATGCTGCTCCCTGCCCTTGTTGCCCATCTCCCTCTCATCTGCTAGGTCTCAGTGTGCACATCTCTCTCCTGAACCCTTCCCTGTGACCCCGATCAGCCCCGCATCCTGTCCATGGTGCCCCCAGACTGTGGTTTCCTCTGCTGCACCACACCCACCATCAATGCCTAGTTACCTGTCTCCCACTCCCGAGGTATCGCTCGCCCTGTCATTTCCCAGGTCTGGTCTTTTTTTAATGTAGTGCTTTCCAGTCATTTTCATCTCAGGGAGTGCAGTAGAAAGTTAGACTCTCTATACAATGGGGTAAACTGAAGGAACATTTAAATTCAACAGGAGTCTGCTCACAGTAGAAGGCAACCAGCCTAAAGATTCCAGTTTTCAGAAGACCCAAGAAATAAGTGAGCCAGCAAGTCCTGTTATCCCAGTGTGCCCCCCTCACTGGGCGGAGGGTTGGGGGGCTCTGGATTAAATGTGAGCCAACAAGTAAACCTGAGTACAAGCTCCTTTTCCAAGTTATTTACTTATTGATTCTCAGTGTCTCGTCTGTAAAATGAGGATCTCAATAAACATGTTTCACTGTGTTAATTTTTGTTGTTTTGTTTTTAATGCCATTCCCAGTGTTGATATAGGTTCTGGAAATAGCTTCCTCCGGTACTGCCATTGGGTGTAAACTAGTGTAAAATCTGGAGTGTAGACAGACGCTGCAAATCAAAATCCTTAAAATCTGGCCTAACAGCCTCACATCTGGGAACTTATCCTCAGAATTTGTCCTGATCGGTGCTGTGAACAGCAGTCTATCTAGAAGGTATTCATCCCAACATTATTTCTGTTTAAAGAAATGGAAAAATACCAAGTATCCAAACCAGGTATATAGATGGAATTAACTGTGGTATATCCATAGAATAGGCCACTGTATAACTGTTAATGATGATGATGTAAAAGAATTCTTAATGGCATAGGGAAATTATTAAGATATATTGAAATTAAGTAAGTAACAAAACCACAATTCATTATGTTCTCGGTTATTTTTTAGATAGATATTAAGAAAAGGCTAGAAAGAAAGAAACCAATATGTTTCCCTGAATAACCAATTTAGAATTTCTTCTTTGTGATTTTTGGTAGTTTCAATATTTCTGAGATGAATATATATTGCTTTTATGGTATATGCTTTAGAAAAATTAAAGTATCATGAAAAGAAACTTCACAGAGTTTGAATTGGAGCACCGTTGTCTGTCGTGTGAGGAAGCCCTGACATTCACCAGGTCAGGCTCCAGCCCAGGAGGGCACGGGTCCCTGAGGGACCTGGGTGCTGGGAGTGATCGTGGCTCCCTGGGCACATATTCTCATTTTCAGTCACGTGCCTACCAGCCTCTTTTGTTTTTACTCATGCCCCTGAGCACACTGGTTTAAACACCAAAATTAAGCCTCATGATTTCCTGTGATGTCAAGAAGGGTCAGGAATTAAGCTTCCACATGCAGTTGCCCATCTCGATAAATTAAATTCAGGTGTGCTTTTCTAAAGGGGCTTTTCATAGCTAATGCTTTTGAGTCCAACTGGCTTCCTCAGACCTTGAGAAGGAGTGAGCAGCCTTCTTTTTTACACAAGGTCCAAATGAGGAAAAATAAAAATGTTTATGAGCCACATTTTTCCCCCACCCAAAATAAAGCTAGCTTTTTAGAGTCCCATAGGGGGAAAATCTGTTCTTATGAGCTATAAACCACATTATGAAAGAAGAAAACAGTTATCATATTTGCACTGCTTTTTAGCCATCTCACTCCTCCTTTCTGGGCACATGTGAGATGGAACAACACAGGGGCATCGTCTAAACTTTATTCTGAAAACTTACATCGTGTGCTGTATTGGGAAGCCAGGTGAGAAGTCCGCTTCCGTAGGTGCTGAGAGGTGGAGTGGGGAGCAGATAGGAAGTTGAGGGCTGGAGGACGTAAAGAACTGTCCCCTGTGTAGGGGAAATATGAACAAAGTAATTGGTTGGAAGATCAAAAGGATCAGTAGACAGTGGAGACAGAAGCTAAAGGCAGGTTCAGGAGGAGATTAAATTAGAGAAAAGTAGAGAGTTTATCTTTTAAAATGGAGTTGTCCTCTCCCCCGAAGTGGGAGAAGGAAAAGGCAGTAAAGAGGAGGGCACTTGTCACTGTCGAGGGTATTAGGGGCCAGGGTAAATCTGGAGACTTGAGAAAGTGGGAGCGGAGTTAAACAGCCACCTGGACAGAGTGGGAAAGGAGATCAGCTCCGACCAAGCAGCAGCCCTGGGAACCATCCTCCTGTCATGGCCGATTGTTGACTGTGGGGCGCTCTCCAGAGGAGTGGGGACGGCAGGTCAGTAGCAGATTCAGAAATGGGACTCATTGGGGTGGGAATGATGGAAGGAAAAGGCAGAATAAAGATTGAGGGTGCCAGAGTAAGGGCTGTGGAAGTAGCCAGCAGGATTTAGAAGAGGTGGCCAAGACTGGGAGGAAATTCACCCTCAGACTGAACATCAGTACGAAGTGTCTCCGGCGTCGTGCGTGGTTCTTCCATCTCAAGCAGCTAGACAGTAGCGTATCCCTTGTACATTCCTCTCTTCCGCCCAAACTCCCATTCTGTTGGGTGCTGTCTCCAGGGCAGAGTGATCACCATATCAAAGTGGCAGCTGGAATTCTGAGTCACTTCCAGCTTTCTCTGTTTCCCTGACTTCACTGGGTATTTCCAGCTGCTGGGCTCCCCTGCTCTCACAGCCCCCATTCCCAGCCAAGTCCTAACTTCTCATAATTCTACAAATTTTTCCTAAAGGGGCAGAGTTGTGAACATGAGGCTTTCCTCCTGCCCTGGGAACACCGCAGCCCTGTGAATAGAGGGTGTTAGCTCCCATGTCGGGGATAAAGGTTGTCTTCCTGGGGAACCGGCCCCCAAGAAGTGACACACCAGTGACCCCCGCTTCCTGGGGAGCACAGCGTGGAGTCAGCTTGAGTGGTGTCAGTGAGCGCTGTGGAAACGGTTCCTCAGAGGCAGCAGGTAGCTTCTACAGGGGGAGGACACAGTGGAGTAACCGTAGATTTCTTAAGAAAGAATAAATAAACATGTATTTTATCAGAAACTAGTAGATCCAATTTATATACACTTTCAAAGAGTCTTCCACAAGACTACACAAAGTTTACTCTAAAAATTGGACTGGACTGTTGAGAGTCAGGCTTAGGAGTATCATCACCATTGCATAGTTTCATTTGACAGTTTTCTTTCACATTTACAAGTTTCGTGAGGAAGCTGCCCCAGAGCAGGAAGCAGCCAGGTCTGCCCCCCAGGTTGCTTCCTCAGATGGGGTGAATGCTTCTCTCTCCATCAGCTCCTGTCCCATCACGCAGTTAACTGGCGTTGAAAGTGATTGCGCTGTGTTCTTTGCTCTCTTCCAGCCCACTGCTCGCTGTGTCCTTTGCCACTTGCTGTGCTGTCCCAGGAGTTGCCCTTCTGACGTGGGGGGTGAACCCACTCACAGGAGCCCTGGGGCTCTTCAACATCTTCCTGTATACCTGTTGTTACACCCCACTGAAGAGGATCAGCATCGCCAACACTTGGGTTGGGGCCGTGGTTGGGGCCATCCCACCTGTCATGGGCTGGACAGCAGCTACCGGCAGCCTCGATGCTGGTGAGTGTCACGGCGTCTCAGCGTCTCCGCAGCAGACACGTGGGCAGGTGCGCGGTCTAGGAGCTCAGAGGCTCTCCTATGCAGGCATTAGCAAAAGCTGGCCAGAGACGCTTCCTTCCCCGAACTGCAGGCCTTGGTGTTCCAGGCCGTTACTCGGTGCTGACCCCTCGGCGCTGTCCGGGGGGCAGACAGAAATACTGTGAGTGCAGAGCCCCCAGGAGTCTGTTTCCTTGGCTTCTCTCTTAGACTTGGAAGGATGTGAGAGGAAACAAGGGAAAGCAAGCTGCCTCAGTCTGCAGCAACTGCAATTAAAGGAAAGGACCTAAAAATCATGAATCAAGTTGGCACAGGTGATTCCCTGGGATACCCCCACCGTGGAGGTGTCTGGCCCCAGGCCTCTGCTATCCTGTCCATGGGACATCCCCTCCTTGGCAGACCTGCTACACTGGCTCTTCCCTCCCACAGACCCGGTCTTTCCCCTGTGAAAGAACAGACTATTCTCATTAGTTTCTCATTTATTTTTATATGATTTGCTTAAATTGTTCATGCTGTCTACAATAAAACCATTGAGACAGTTCTACATTTTTTCGGTGGTATGTCACAACTAAATTTGTGGGGTGAAATAGCCCATTTTTACCATCTGTAAGGGAAGTTTCACAGTCTAATTAGTCAAGTAATTAGTGTTTTTTGACCGACACTTAGGAAGGAAGTGGTGAGGTTTCCTGCAGTATATGTAAGTACATATTTTTCACATGAGAGATCAAAAAGCAGCTGACCATAAACCATTGCCCCGTAGCCACATTTCTGAAACTTTTCACAAAAGCTCTAGGCTCTGATTTGGCAAGTGTGCAAAGATGGTTACACCTTTGTTACGGTTGTCTCTTAGAAAGGTTTTAATATCCTGTAAGTGTTGGCCTTCCATGAGTCTACAGACAGAGTATTCTAAGTGCACATGCTTGTTTGGTCTGTGGTAAGCCTCAGTCAGTCTGGGCCTGTAGGAGGCTCTTTCCCGCCGAGCAGCGGGCCTGGGGCAGAGCTGGGAGTGTGCACTTCTAACTTGTCCCCAGGTGATGCTTATGCCCACCTGCAGAGACCACACTGCCAGGCAGAACTGAGAGAGCTTTAGCTCTTGGAATACCTGGAAGCACCTAGGGGTTGGGCGGAGGGCATTACTCGAGATGCACTAATGGTGTCATCTGTATTAGCCACAGAGGTTGCATCTCTCCTCTGAGTTCTTATCTGAGGGACTTGTTTGCTTAAAAGAACCTTTCTGAGAATAAAATGGCCCAGAGTGTTTCTTTTCTTCATTGGTATTTCCAAACCATTTCGTCTTTGAACTCCAGAGACTAATCGCTCTAGAGAAGCTGTGAGCAGAGTAGTCTTTGGAGTACCTTGTGGAATGATACTGACAGGAAGGGGGGTGGAAGGTGAGGACGGGAGGGGGAGGCTGGGAGGTCACCTCAGTGAAACAGCCAGGACCCGGAACCGCTGGGGCTCACCACTGCCATCAAGGCTTTATTGTGCAGGGGTCCGTTGAGGACCTACTGTGTACTGGGCACTGGCAGATACAAATACTACTACAGTCTAGTCCTCACGGAAACCATGTCTCATTCAGCATCTTCAGGGAGAGGCAGGCAGGTGATCGCATAGTTGACTGAGCTAAGACCTTTAGCAGGAGAGGGGTCTGCAGAGGGCTGCGAGCTGGTCTTAGAAGGCTTTGGGTAACAGTGACTGAATTATGTCATGATGAGCTTACCTGAGAAGGGCACGCGCTTTCCAAGAAGAGGGAAGAGCCTGTGCACAGAGGTTTGTAGGCATGGGAACCAGAGCAAGTGGGAGACAAGGGACAGTATCCGAGAGGAGCTGCGCTCCTGAGGAATTTATACCTTATCATAAAGCAGCGAAGACCATAGGAGGCTTAGGCAGGAAGCAGCGGTTTCCACTTGGGGATTATTTCACAGCGTGCAGAAGGCTGGCTCCTCCCGGGTGTCTGGCATCAATAAGTTGTGGAGCCTGCCTGTATTGTCCTCCCGAGCTCTGTGTCTTCTCTCACCTGCTGCCCTCCCGCCCCTGCCCAAGCCTGCCCCTCTCCAGTAGGGCTCTACATATCCTAGGCCTGCCCACCCCCCTCCCTATCAAAATTTGACCCTTTGAGTGTTTAGTGAAGCATTGACCTGGTGGTCTTTGAAAGCAGCTCACGAACACCAATGACCTACAGGTGAGAATGGAAGATACATGTCTGAAGGGGCGATTCCCCTGAACGTACTTCATGCCTTTGCCCCGCCTTCCCTGGCTGCTCAGCCAGGACATCAGATACCCAGCACCGTCATTTCTGACACTTGGCTCTGTACAGCTGTGCAGAAGCCCTTCCCTGGCTCAGCAGATGATGGGCAGGACTGGCGAGGAAGCAGCTGGGCCGATGTGAGATGAGGACCCTCCAGCCTCAGCTGTGGCAGGTTCTGCCTGGCAGGCACTGTCTAGCTGGGAGAGACAGGACAGGAAACAAGTAGCTATAGAAAATGGTGTGCGTCCAGTGGCCTGTGGAGCAGGAGGTGCTGTTCATAGGTGCCCCCCTGTCTTAGTGGCTAGGTCTTTTGTGGTTTGGGGTGGCTACTGGGCTGGTAGAGCCTCCAGAGGGCCCAGCACAAACAGGGCCTGCTGCCTCTTCATAAAACATCAAATGAGGGTAATTACGATGGTTCTTCAGGCTCTGATTTTTCCCCCACAGCCACTTTACTGTTTTGTGTTTTATTCTGGGGGTTTTCCTATCAGATAGTAAATAAAAGATCTCTCCTTGTTTAGATGGCCCAGTGGTGTGGGCTCAAAGCCCGTGCTCATTGGATCTGCCCTCTGGTAGGGAGTCCAGCTCAGGGTAGGCAAGGCAGGTCGGGGTGGTGGGGGGGTGAAGAAAACTAAACAAGTCAGCGTGTGGGAATTGTGAACACCGAGGAAGTGTTAGTTGTTCTTGATATTTGCTACCTTATAGCGACAGAAGAACTATAAGCAGCGAGCTTTTCTCTGGGGTGTGCAGCACCGACAGCTGTCCGTGGGGTTTTGTTTTGGAGAGGACTGCGCTGTGCTGTCGGGTGCCCGCCAGCCCAGGAAGCGCTCTCGGTGGCTGTCTTGTCAGTCAAGGTCATTGTGAGAATGGTATTCTACCTGTCTCCCTTTCCCTCTGAGGCTCAGCCTTGGCCTCCCACCTGCCTAATTACTTTGCCTGTGTTTTGTTTTGTTTTGTTTTAAGTTAAACTGCTGCTACTAGAAAATATTTAAATGCATACCAAGTAAAACTCAGGAAGGGCACATGAGGGTCTGCGTCCTGGTCCCTGGTCTGCCCAGCTGGTGCCTTAGGGATGGAAGAGCTGGGTTTGACTCTGCTCACAGTAAGCAGGGAGGAAAGTGACCTGCCAGGGCCCTAGCACAGGGGTT